TGTGTGTCTCAGGAGAACTGTGCCTGGAGGGTTTTGTTGGCGGTGATCCTCATAGAAGCAGACGGCCAGGCCTTTCTTCTGAGGCGCTTCTAGGTGGGTGTGAACTGACAACCATGACAAGACAGGAATGCTGGGTGGGGACAGGCATACTCAATAAGGGAAAAAAAGTGTAATCGTTGAGATCCACCATCTTCGTGTTAAAGAAGCCTCATGCCACCAGCACTGGTCGGTTTGGCAGCCTTTGCTGGCACGTTTCCCATCACTGGCATGTTTCCCATCACACGTGGATTATATAGATCCATCACCTCCTCTGTCATGAGCCCCTCTCCTCAGCCTCAAATCCAGACTCTGAGGGCGAGCCACACGTACGCAGGAGTCAAGACCAGAACTATCAGCACCGGACGTTTCAGATGGCAAATGGCCTAACATCCTGACATCCTGCACAAGGAAACTGAGGCACATAGGTTAGAAATGACCTGTCCGCAGTGTCCCAATTAAGAAATATGACAGCCAAGAGCAGCAGCAAGGTTTCCTAACTCCAAGCTCAAAGCAAAAGGCCCCTGGATGGTGCAAAGGGCTGGAGCTGGACTATAAACTGAAGGGTTGGTGAGTTCAAGCCATCCAGCAGCATGAGGAAGAAAGGCCTGGCCATCCACCTTCCTAAAGACTCCAGCCAAGTAAATCCAGTGGGGCAGCTCTGCTCTGTCTGTGGGTGGCCATGAGTCAGAATAGACTCAACAAAAGTGAGTCTTGCCTTGTTTTTGTTTTTCGGTCATTAAAAGTAATTTCCCTCAAAAAATCCCCAGTGCAGCTTTGAACCAGGGATCAGCAAACCAGGAGGAACCCGGCTGCACCCACTGTTCCAGGGTCATCCGCAGGATTCTATAGCAGCTGAGGTGAGTGGTTGAAACCCAGAGAAGTGGCAACAGACCATGGAGGGTCTGCTGAGCTGAAAAGATGGACTGCCCTGTGGTGGCTAAGGCATGTGGCACCTCGGCTGGGTCAGGATCCTCAGTGGTGTGACAGTTATGATGCAGCCATCCCCCATGATGAGATCGGATACAATGTAATCACCTCCGTGATGAAATCTGCTGTGAGCAGCCAATTAGTTGGAAGGGAGTTTCCTCAGGGGTGTGGCCTGCTTCCCACATGCACAGGCAGCCTGGCCCACCTCTCTGGGTTTCTGCTCCATCTGGATTGCATCTGACACATCGTCATCTGACCTCCGGCTCTTTGGACATAATGCCTGCTGATGACGGGATTCCTCGGCCTCTGCCGCCTGGGAGCTGGAAGCCTGCTGTCTTGCCTGTGGATCTTGGATTCACCAGCCTTTGCAGCCAGCAACCTGCCGTCTTGCCTGCCGATCTTAGATTCATTGGCCTCTGCAGCCAGCAGCCTGCCGTTTTGCCTGCTGATCTTGGATTTATTGGCCTCTGAAGCCAGGAGCCTGCTGTCTTGCCTGTGGATCTTGGATTCACCAGCCTTTGCAGCCAGCAACCTGCTGTCTTGCCTGCCAATCTTGGATTCATCAGCCTCCGTAGCTATGTGAGTCAGGAGAAGCCTGACCTACAGATGGGGGACTTGCCAGCCTCTACAACTGTGTGAGCCATTTCCTTGAGATAAATCTATCTACATATATAAGCGTCACTGGTTTTGCTTCTCTAGAACCCAGCCTGAGACACGGCCCATGCAGAAAAGGTCTGCCAGACTTTGCATTAGACGGTGAGGATAAACCGCCAGTCCTTTGATTCCTTAATTCACTCCCATTCATCAGTGGCCTTCAGACTTTCTTGATTTGATGCTTAAAAATTATTGAGGACCCCAGAGAGCTCTTGTTGGTGTGGGTGTTACCTATCAATGTAGGAGTCCCTGGTGCAAATGATCACGTGCTTAACTACCAGCCCAAAGGCTGGTGATCTCAATGTACCCAGGGTGCCTCAGAAGAAAGGCCTGGTGAGCTACTTCCGAGAGGCCAGTACTGAACCGTCGATGGAGCAGTTGTACTCTGACACGCTTGGAGTCGCCATGAGTTGCAACCAGCTTGACAAGTGGGTATCTCAATATTTACTGTGCTTAAAATTAAGACTGGAAAGGTTACGCACTCCTATTCACCTAAAAAGTAATAATCCCTTCATATTCCAACAAAAATAACATCTTTTTATGAAAACCAACTACAGTTTCCAACAAAATAGCATGCATATGGCATCTTGTTTCCACATTTGCAAATCTGTTCAGCGTCTGGCTTTAGAGAAGACAGCTCTGTTCTCACATCCACTTCAGCTCCCAGTTCTCACGTCCACCTCAGCCCCCAGTTCTCACATCCACCTCGGCCCCCAGTTCTCACGTCCACCTCGGCCCCCAGTCCCCTCGTCCACTTCCACTCTCAATTCCCACACCCATTTTGGCCCCCAGTTCCCGCGTCCACCTCAGCTTTGTCTGCAGCCAAGTATCACTGGGGCTGGAGCACAGTTAAATGATGCACAGTGTCCCTTTGGGCAACAGCTAACCCCATACATGTCTGTGGTCCTGTAAGGTTACACAGGATTCAGAAATCCTGATTGGAGAACCAGACATAGCAAACTTAGCAGCTTCCTGCACAAGACATGAGTATGTCACGTCTCCTGTATACTAAGTGACTGTGCTGCCAGGCGTACATGGTATAGCACATATATAATCCATAACACATGTTATGATTGTCATACTAAGCGCCTGTGTCACTGGCTGAGGTGTGGATGGACTGTACATTCTAAGAAGATGACCACATAAGTGTATGCTTCAACTTGTAGGCGGTCGTGGCCAGTTTCACGTACTGCCTGTCTCTCGAGGGCTGCAGCATTCTCTCTCTTCATTGCCTTTGGAAGATGTCACCATGAAGTGCGCCATGGCTCCCACATGCAACAAAGCCAGCGCCAGTACTGGGGCAGCAGGACGCAAAGCAGAAGCATCAACTTGGAAGTGAAACAAAAGGTGACCACAGAACTCCCGGGGCACTATTAGTGAGCGCTGCTGCGTGGGACTCAGGTAGGTCGCACTCGGGAATCATGCCGATCCTCAAAACAGAGCAGACATCCTCCAACTGCTGAAGGACTGACAAGGACGCAAAAGGGACCTACATCAGATATGGAGACATCACTGACGATGTGGAGGGAGAACCCAGCACAAACACAGGTCCCTCTCAGCACAATGATGACCACTGCTGAGGCAGGAGGCTTGGTCAAGACACTTAAAGAGAAAGCAGGACCAGACTATGATGTGGTGTTCGCATAACGTCCACACTGTGCAATGTGCACATCACGCAACGTCCTAATCACACAACATCCACATCGCACACCGTCCACATTGCACAACGTCCATGTCATGCAACATCCTAATCACACAACGTCCACATTGCACATCCTAATCACATATTCACATTGCACAACGTCCACATCATGCAACATCTGAATCATACAACATCCACGTTGCATAATGTCCGCATTACTCAACGTCCACATCGCATAACGCTCTGTCTCACTGGATGGACCGTGGACATTAAGCGACCCACACTGCCCATGAAGAAAATCGGCCTCAGCCAGATGTGCACGTGGAGGCTGGAGAAATTCCAACAGCTTTGCTCATAAACCATGGGTAATCTTCATCGGTGCCTCAGCAAAACCCGTCAGGTTGTTGTTTCTTAGTAAAAGGTAAACAGTACCAAATCCAGAATCAGCCTGTGCACTGAGCTTTTCCCACTGACCCCTACTGCTCATCTCTTACACTGGCATCCATTGATTCATTTATTTCACATTGACATCTATTGATCCATCTTGCTTTTCCAGATTGATTTTGACCCATTCATGGCTTATGCTGATCTTTCAAATGCAGACACAGTCCATTATTCAATATCAGACAAACCATACTGATTCACAGCACCAATCAGTTCATCAGAAGAGTCTGTAAGTATAAGGGTCTGTCAGGCTCACAGGGGAGGATACAGACTTGCCAAAATTCTAATTATTAAACAAAAACTCAAATACACAGGGAGGAAAAAAAAAAAAAAACCTCATTGCCCTCGAGTCGTTTCCAACTCGTAGAGTCCCCCTTTGGGTTTCCGAGGCTGTAAATCTTTACGGAAGTAGATCATCCAGTCTTCCTTCTGTGGAGCAGCTGTTGGGTTGAACTGCTGACCTTCTGGTTAGCAGTCAGGTCCCTCATCCACTACACCACCAGAGCTCCTTACCAAATACATGAAAGGAAACACAATGTATTGTTATGGGGGGGAACGTGTTCCTGAAAAGATCTGCTGAAGTCTGAACCCTGGTACCTGTGAACGTGGCCTTGTTTGGGAACAGGGTCTATCACGTAGGTTAACACAAGCCACGCTGGGGCAGTGCAGGTCCTAATTCCATCAGAGTGGTGTCTTATAAAGAGGAGACGAGACACAGAGACAGAGAGACAGAGGAATGACACCACGTGACACTGCAGCTGCAGCCCAGGAATGCCTGGGGCCACCGGGAGCCCGAGAGTGACCGTCTCCCTCAGCGCCTCAGAGGGACCCACTCGTTGACACCCTGTCTCAGACCCCAGCCTCCAGGAACGCCTGGGGCCACCGGGAGCCCGAGCGTGACCGTCTCCCTCAGAGCCTCAGAGGGACCCACTCGTTGACACCCTGTCTCAGACCCCAGCCTCCAGGAACGCCTGGGGCCACCGGGAGCCTGAGAGTGACCGTCTCCCTCAGAGCCTCAGAGGGACCCACTCGTTGACACCCTGTCTCAGATCCCAGCCTCCAGGAACGCCTGGGGCCACCTGAGAGCGGCAAGGACAGTCTCCCTCAGCGCTTTGGAGGGATCCACACAGTTGACACCTTGGTCTGGTCTTGGACCCCAGCATCCAAAGCTGCGAGGACACGTTTCTGTTCTTTTATGTCTCCCGCTTTGTGGCCTTTTAATGGCAAATGTTAAATGTTAAAGTGAGGGGGGACTAACGTTCCACCCCAAGGCCTCCCCAAGCCCTCTCCTCACCAGAAGGTCTGCTTGGCCGTCTGGATGACGTTGGCCGACACCTCCACGTCTATGTAGTCGTAGTGCAGGGCCTCCGGGTCGGTGGACGAGCCCGTCTCCGCCAGCAGGATGCCAACCCACCTGCCCATGTCTTCAGAGGTTGAGGCCTGCAAGGGGAGGGGACGGGCACAAGTGCGTTTTGGTTTGTGGTGACTGACATTGGGCAGCGGACACAGGTGACCATCACACAACATGCTCACTGTAATTGGTCTGAGTGGTAAGTGGTAGGCAAGAAAAAAAATGTCCAATTGGCCACTACATGTTTCCTGTATTCTTACAGTAAAAAGGACATCATGTCTTAGTGAAGATAAAGATTCTAAAGTCTTCTCACATGAATGTCAGTGAAGAGACCTCATCTTAGTAAAGAAGGGGCATGGAGACGTAAATAAGACGGAAGACGTGGGCTCACCCCCATGAGGGGACAAGCCCTGCCTGCACGCCGGCCTGACGGAGGGAGGGAGACGCGGTCAAACCACAGGAAACCAGAGCCTGAGGCCCTAAGACGCCTTCTCACTGTGGAGGAGCAGGTCATTTTGGGGACAGGCACTAGGGTGTCAGCCACAGAAACAAACGTAGTCAGCGTCATGCCAGCTCAAGGACGCTGCTGAGGAAAAATAGCCAGCTGCTGCCAAGGTGGCTCCGACCCGATGCCGAGTGGGTCAGAGTCTAGCTGTGCCCACGGGGTCCTCAGTGGCCGGCTTCTAGGGTCACCAGGGCTTTGTTCCCAGGCATCTCTGGGTGGACCCGACCCGTTTTCCGACTGCATCAGCTTCTGTACAGCCAGGGCCTCCTGCTGTCAGGAGGCCTCATCAGTTTGGCGACAGAGCCTGAAGCACCCCCTGCCCCTCTGCTAGCCTGGCTTAGGGAGCACGGCCAAGCTCTCTGCTCCTGGTGGCCACAAGGTTCGGGGACCAGTGGCCCTAGTCGAGGGCCCTAAAGTGGCCTGAAATGGTCATTTTGTTCCTCTTGGAGAGAGGGTACACTATAACCCGCTTGGTTTGACATCAGCTGCGAAGCTCTGGGGTGAGGGTGACCTGCCGGCAGTGGGCTGCCTGGCACACGATGTTTATCAGCACGTGTGAATGGCCCCAACACACAATCCAGTCAGTGCCACTTCACAGCCACCTTCCCCACGACAAGGAGACGCTGCCTGCTCCCGTGCCGTCTTCATGACTGTGGCGGAGCTCTCGTGGTGTGGTGCCTGGGGTATGTGACTGCAGACCAGAAGGCTGGCAGTTCAAACCCACCAGCTGCTCCATGGAAGGAAGACTGGGCAATGTACTTCTGTAAAGATTTACCGCCTCGGAAACAAAATGGGGTTGCTATGAGTCAGAATTGACTCGATGGTAGTGAGGTGTTTTTTTTGTTTGTTTGTTTCAAAGGTCTGATTTACTGTAGACTGAAAAATAAATATATTGTGTAATACAATGAACAATAAAATAGAAACATTTTAACTAGACATGAATGGCGTCCAGTCAAACAAGAGAGGTTTGGGGTGCAGCCAAGAACTTGTTGGCACTGTTTTTCCTCGTTTACAGACTATGACATTGGAAAACGCTAGCAAACCTGAGTGTCCTTAGAGCACAGGATGTGCCTTTGGCCTGCATGTCCCTGGGCTCCCGGGCCACCATGTCTAACAGGCGGCTGTCCCAGCTGTAGGGAGTCCAGCACCAGGCCCAGGGAAGAGGCCAAGGAAGCATGTCCCCAGCACCCCTATGCAAAGGCACACCAGCAAGGGAGAAGAGAAAGCCCAAGTCTCGTCGCAAGTTTTCAAATCGCTATTTTCTGGCCACATTTAAAAGCAGCTTTCTCTATGGAATTGAGATCCGTGGGTTTTTGGTTTGTTTTGTTTTTTCTTAAAAGCAGGGCAGTGAGAAGGGAAGACAGGAGAAGGCAGTGTTGGAACCACGGAGTTGGTGGAACATGCTGGGCTTGTCATGGGCGCTGGAGAATGGACAAGTGTCAGCCCTAGAAAAGATGAACGTGTCTCCTTGGGAACCAGGATGGGGACTCTGGCTCGCTTCCTTGGGACACATCATCAGGAAAGACCAATGGCTAGGAGAGGACGTCATGGCCGGTAAAGTGGAGGGTTGGTGAAAACGGGGGAGACCCCCACGAGATGGACAGACATGGGAACTGGGGCAGTGGGCTCAGATCACCAACAGTCACCAAGAGGGTGCGCGTCCTCGTCAAACGGAAGGGTGGCCACTAGCAACACGTGGAATTATAGGTTTAATTCCCATGCAAACAGCGTGTATAGAGGCAATGACACAGGGAGGTGACGTAGCCAACAAACCCTCTCTGTGCGAGTGAGTAACTGGCAGGGTGCTGTTTGCAGGGCAAAGCCTCCCACACCAGGGAATTGACAGAAGGAAAACTGGGCGCGTGAGGAAAGGACAGGAGCCAGCACAGCCACGGCCTCGTGACCAGCTCACATCAGCTCTGCGTGGGAGCGCTCACACACGGGTGCATACCTCCAACACAGCCACCTCCTGCCCATTGCGCAGCAGCCGGAAGGTGAGGGGGTGCTTGGGGCCCAGCCCCGGGATCACCTCGCAGCCGCGGAGAGGGATGGAGGCGATGTGGGCCTTCAGGTCCGACCGGTCCTTGTGCAGGATAAGCTTGTTGTCCCTCACCCGGCACCAGCGTTCCCGCCAACGGCTGTTGGAGAGCACGTTCAGGTAGCCTGCAGAGAGACGGCCACACATTGTAACCTTTCAGAAAGAGGAGGTGCTGTGACCACAGGTCAAGCTATTCACAGTAAACTCCCATTGCCACGGAGTCCACGCCCACTCCTGGCACCCTGTGTGAGTCACAGCAGAACTGCACCCCGTGGGGTGGGGGGGCTCATTTTTCAGAAGTGGCTTGGCAGGCCTTCCTAGGTGGGGCCAAACCTCCAACGTCGTTAGAAGCCAAGCATGTGAGCCGGTGGCTCCACAGGGGCTCCTGTGCATGTCTGGGGTCTCGCTGCAGAAGGCCGCTGAGGGCACCACAGCCTTCAGCCACCACCTGACGAATCCCTCCCACCGCACGTTTTCAAATGCAAATTCAGATCCACAACAAGAATTCCTGCCACAATTCACATGATCGCCAAACACAGACCAGCTCAGAACCCAAAAACCACACCCACTGTCGTGGAGTCCATTCTGACCCACAGCGCCCCTAGAGGACAGAGTGGAACTGCCCACAGGGTCTCCAAGGCTGTCAATCTTCACAGGAGCAAAGCCCAAACCACACCCACTGCCGTGGAGTCCATTCTGACCCACAGCGCCCCTAGAGGACAGAGTGGAACTGCCCACAGGGTCTCCAAGGCTGTCAATCTTCACGGAAGAGTGCTGGGTGCTCAGCAGACTAGAATGGGACCGGGTGCTGGAGGGCAGATCCTAAGGCAGACATGCACTCCGTGGCCCCAGGGCAGAGTCAGCCCTCAGATGGGGATCCTGGGGCCTGGAGTCCAAGTCAGTCCTAGGATGGGGCATCTTGGGGAGTGGGGGCTGACTCAGCCCTTGGATGATGGCTGATCCTGTGAACGTCTTCAGTAAAGATACACAGACAGTAAAAGGTGCGAGAGTCAGAACTGTGGAAGCCGGGAACCTGTCAGAGGAGGAAAACGCCATCGTGTCCCACTAAGAGGGCACCAGCGAAGGCACTGGGAGTGCACCCTGTCAAACGCGGAAAGCTCGAGAGACCTGGAAACACAAGGCATTGGTCGCATTCCAGCACTACAGGCTTCACTGTGTGTGTGCATTATCTCTCTCTCTCCCTCCAGTTTCTCCCCCAACACACAGTGACCCCGTGGGGCAGAGCAGAGCTGTGCTCTGAACGCTTTTCAGGGGCTGCTGTTTTGGAAGTGGACTGTCAGGCCTTGCTTCCAAGGTGCCTCTGGGTGGAACTGAACCTGCAGCCTTCAGGTGAACAGTGGACCACATCACCTGTTTGCACTACACTGGGAGACACTCTTCCTCCCCATACCCCCATATATAACCGTGTTGTTGTTGTGAGGTGCCGTCGAGTTGACTCTGACTCATAGCGGCCCCGTGTCCAACAGAACGATACACTGCCCGGTCCTGCACCAGCCCCACAGTCCCTGCTGTACCTGAGCCCATCGCTGCAGCCACTGTGTCCATCTCGTTGAGGGCCTTCCTTTTTTTCGTTGACCCTCCACTTTACCAAGCATGACATCCTTCTCATGACATCATCAATCGGAATGATTCCTTCTGACAACACGACCAAAGGAGGTGAGACAAACTCTGGCCATTCTGGCTTCCAAGGAGGATTCCGGGTACATTTCCTCCAGGACAGATTGATTGGTGAATTCTTCTGGCAGTCCATGGTACTCTCAGCATTCTTCACCAGCACCACAACTCAAAAGCATCAACTCTTCTTCAGTCTTCCTTTATTCACTGTTTAGCTCTCACATGCATATGATCAAAAACTAAAACCAAACTCACTGCCATTGAGTAGGATGCAACTCTTAGCGACCCCTCCTTGGCTTTCCGAGGCGGTACCACTACAGAAGTAGATTGGCCAATCTTCCTTCTGAGGAGTGGCTGGTGGGTTTGAACCTCCAGCCTTCTGGTTAGCAGTCAAATGTCTTAAGCACTTTGCTACCAGATACCATACCTTGGATTAAGCACACCTCAGTCTTCAAAGAGACATCTTTGCTCTTCAGCATTTGAAAGAGGTCCTTTGCAACAGACTTGTCCAGTGCAATACGTCGTCTTGATGCCTTGACTGCTGCTTCCCTGGGTGTTGATTGTGGAACCAAGTAATATGAAGTCCTTGACAACTTCAATCTTTTCTCCATGTATCATGATATTGCTTTTTGGTCCAGTTGTGAGGATTTTTGTTTTCTTTATATTGAGATGTACTCCATACTGTAGACTGTAGTCTCTAATCTTCATCAGTCAGTGCCTCAAGTCATCCTCACTTGCAGCAAGCAAAGTTGTGTCATCAGCATATCGCAGATTGTTAATGATTCATCTTTCAATTCTGATGCCATGCTCTTCTTCACATAGTCCAGCTTCTCGAATTATTTGCTCAGCACATAGATTGAATAAGTATGGGGAAAGGATACAACCCTGACACACTCCCTTCCTGATTCTAAACCATGCAGTGTCCCCTTGTTCTGTTTGAACAACAGCCTCCTGGTCTATGTACAGGTTCTTCATGAGCACAATCAAGTGTTCTAGAATTCCCCTTCTACTCAAAGTTATCCATCATTTGTTATGATCCACACAATCAAATGCTTTTGCATAGTCAATAAAACACAAGTAAACATCTTTCTGGTGTTCTTTGCTTTCAGCCAACATCCATCTGACATCAGCAATGACATGCTTCGTTCAATGTCCTCTTCTGAATCCAGGTTGCATTTCTGCTGCAACTGTTTTTGAATTATCTTCAGTCAGATTTTACTTGCATGTGATATTAATGATACTCTGTGGGATCACCTTTCTTTGGAATGGGTATAAATATGGATCTCTTCCAGTCAGTTGGCCAGGTAGCTGTCTTCCAAATCTCTTCATGTAGCCGAATGAGTGCTTCCAGCATGGCATCTGTTTGTTGAAACATCTCAATAGGTATTCTGTCAATTCCTGGAGCCTTGCTCTTTACAAATTCCTTCAGTGCAACTTCGACTTCTTCCTTCAGTACCTTTGGTTCTTGATCATATGCCATCTCCTGAAATAGATGAACATTGACCAATTATTTTTGGTACAGTGACTCTATATTTCTTCTATCTTCTTTTGATGCTTCCTGCATCACTCAATATTTTGCCCATAGAATCTTTCAGTATTGCAACTTGAGGCTTAAATTTTTTCCTCAGTTCTTTCAGCTTGAGAAATGCTGAGCATTTTCTTCCCTTTTGGTTTTCTAACTCCAGGTCTTTGCACATTTCATTATAGTAATTGCCTTTGCTCTAACTGCTCTTTGAAAACTTCTGTTCAGGACTTTTATCTCGTAATTTCTTCCATTTGCTTTAGCTACTCTCCGCTCAAGGGCAAGTTTCAGAGTCTCTTCTGTCATCCATTGTGGTCTTTTCTTCCTTTCTCATATTTTTAATGACCTTTTGCTTTCTTCATTGATGATGTTCTTGATGTCATTCCACAATTCTTCTGGTTTTCCGTCATTGGTGTTCAGTGCATCAAATCTATTCTTTAGATAATCTCTGTAGTCTTTAGATAGTCTCTACATTCTTTAAATATTCTCTAAATTCTTTAGATAGTCTCTAAATTCAGGAGGGATATAATCAAGGTCATACTTTGGCTCTCATGGACTTGTTTTAATTGTCTTCAACTTCAAGTTGAATTTGCATATGAGCAGTTGATGGTCTGTTCCACAATCAGCTCCTGGCCTTGTTTGGGCTGAAAATATTGAGCTTTTCCATCACTTCTTGCCACAGATGTAGTCAATCTGATTCCTGTGTACTCCCGCTGGTGAATCCACATGTATAGCCACTGCTTATGTTGTTGAAAAAAGGTATTTGCAATGAGTAAGTCATTGGTCTTGCAAAATTCTATCATGCAATCTCCAGTGTTATTTCTATCACCAAGGCCATATTTTCCAACTACTGGTGATTCTTTGTTTCCAACTTTCGCATTCCAATCACCAGTGATAATCAACACATCTTGATTGCACGTTTGGTCAATTTCAGATAGCAAAAGTTGGTAAAAAAATCTTCAATTTCCTTGTCTTAGTCTTTGGTGGTTGGTGTGCAAATTTGAATAATAGTTGTATGAACTGGTCTTCCTTGTAGGTGTATGGATATTATCCTATCACTGACAGCATTGTACTTCAGGATAGATCTTGAAACATTCTTTGTGACGATGAATGCCACACCATTCCTCTTTAACCTCTCATTCCCAGCACAGTAGATCATATGACTGTCTGATTCAAAATAGTCCATTTCACTAATGCCTAGGATATCATCCTTTATGCATTCCATTTCATTTTTGACAACTTCTAATTTTCCCAGATTCATACTTTGTACAGTCCATGTTTTGATTATTAACGGCTATTTCTTCCCATTTTGACTCATGCCCCATCAGTAAATGAAGGTCCCCAAAGCTTTATTCCACCCACGTCATTAAGGTCAGTTGTACTCTGATGAAGCAGCACTACTCCAGTCATATTTTGAGTGCCTTCCAACCTGAAGTGCTCATCTTCCAGTACTATATCAGACAACGTTTCAGGACTATTCATAGTTTTCCAGTAATAAATCAGACATTGTTTCTCTGCTGTTCATAAGGTTTCCACTCGTCAATTCTCTGAGAAGTGGATGGCCCCTTCCTTTTTCCAAGTCTTAGTCTGGAAGCTCCATTGAAACCTGTCCACCATGGGTGACCCTACTGGCATTTGAAACACCAGTGACATAGCCTCCAGCTTCACTGCAACATGCAAGTGACCACAGTAGGACAGACTGACAGATGAGTGGTAGGTGTATAACCATAAACCAAAAAAACCAAATTCACTGCCATCAAGTTGCTCCTGACTCACAGTGATCCCTCTTTGGGTTTCCAAGGCGGTATCACTACAGAGGTAGATTGCCCAATCTTCCAAGGTGTGGCTGGTGGGTTTCAGCCACCAGACTTCTCATTACCAGTCAACTGCCTTAGGCACTACACCACCATTAACTGAACAGAACTCATTGCCGTCAAGTTGGATCCAACTCATAGTGACCTTTCCTTGGGTTTCTGAGGCAGTATCACTATGGAAGTAGATTGCCTGATCTTCCTTCCGAGGAGTGGCTGGTGGGTTTGAACTGCCACTCTTCTGGTTAGCAATCAAGTGCCTTAGGCGCTATGTCACCAGAGCTCCATGCCACCATTAGCCAGGCCTAAAACCAAACCCAACCCACTGCTGTGGAGTGGATTCCAATTCACAGTGCCCCTAGAGGACAGAGTGGAACTTCCCACAGGGTCTCCAAGGTTGTCAGTCTTCACAGAAGCAAAGCCCAAACTACACCCACTGCCGTGGAGTCCATTCTGACCCACAGCGCCCCTAGAGGACAGAGTGGAACTGCCCACAGGGTCTCCCAG